GCTACACTAGAGGGATCAGGCTCAAGGTGTTTTAGGGAGTTTAGTGGTGATGCCTTCCCTATTGAGTAGAGTGATTGAGCCCCAGGGGCAAGACCCAGAGTTATCATCCATTAGGGACCGAGTGCAGGTGGGTATCAGTGACGAGGGCTGGGCCATTCACTTAGATGGTAGTCTTCGGTATAGGGGAAGGGTTGTGGTTCCCCAATTAGCGGATCTGAGAGAGGAGATCCTTAGGGAGTTCCATTGCTCCCGATTTGTTGTACATCTAGGTGGCACGAAGATGTATCATGGTCTTTGTCATGAGTATTGTTGGAACGGGATGAAGAAAGACGTTAGAGACTTTGTCAGACGATGTCTCACGTGTCAGCAGGTCAAGGCTGAGCACCAGAGACCAGTAGGGTTACTCGATCCCTTGGAGGTAGCTAAATGGAAGTGGGAGCATGTCACGATGGATTTTGTGACCCACTTGCCATAAACATTGCGAGGATATGACATGGTATGGGTGATAGTGGACCGGCTTATAAAGTCGGCACACTTTTTGGCTGTGTGGATGACCATCATACTTGAGGAATTATGTCGATTGTACATATGGGAGATTGTTAGGTTGCATGGGGTGCTCGTATCTATTATAGCAGATAGGGATCCCTGGTTTACAGCTCATTTTTGGGAGAGTTTCCAATGAGCCATGGGGACACAGTTGATGATGAGAATAACTTTTCATCCCTAGACGGACAGTTAGTTGGAGAGGAGCATCCAAATATTATAGGACATGTTACAAGCATGTGTCCTAGATTTCAAGGGTAGCTGGGAAGAGCATTTACCCTTAGTGGAGCTCGCCTACAACAACAGTTATCAGGCAAGCATTTAGATGACACTCTATGAGAAACTTTATGAGAGGCCTTGCCATTCTCTGGTATGTTGGACGGAGGTAGGAGAGAGACCCTCTACGGGTCTAGATTTGGTTAGAGACACCTCAGAGAAGGTGGACCTGATATGAAAACGTCTTCTTACAACTTAGAGCCGACAGAAGAGCTACGCTAATAGACGGCGACGACCTTTAGAATTTGAGGGGGGAGATCACATCTTCTTGAAGGTGATGCCTAAGAGGGGAGTGGTCAGATTCAAAAAATAAGGAAAGCTATCGCCGAGGTTTATCAGGCCCTTTGAGGTATTCGAGAGAGTGGGCACAGTGGCTTATAGATTGGCGTTACGACCAAATTTATTGACTTTTCACGTGGTGTTCCATGTCTCTATGCTCTGGAAGTATACTCTAGATCTGACACATGTAGTGGATTGGGGTGAGTTGATTGTTCATGCGAAGGGAACCTTCGAGGAGGGACAGGTGCGTATCATGGATAGCTAGGAGTAGGTTTTGCAAGGCAAGACTGTGAGGCTAGTGAAGGTTCTGTGGCAGCACTGTGGTGTGGAGGAGGAGACATGAGAGCGTGAGGATACCACACATACCAAGTATCCATTCCTGTTGTGGCATATGCACATAGTTAGCTGTGTGTGTGAATTTTAGGGACAAAATTCTTTTAAAGGGGGAAGAATGAAAAACCCGGGTAAATTTAAATTTTTTATGAAAAAGGGCAAAATGATAATTTGCTACTATGGTACGGGTTGTTAACCAGAAATTTTCTAGTACTCGGATGACGAAACGGACATCACTGTTGGATTCGTCTCGCAAAATCTAGTTATCTTGTCAAATTTCATTAAATTCTGAGATAGTCAAATTTTTTACGTTTTCGAGTCTCGGGTGACTCAAAAACGAAATTTTTAATAAAATTTTGAAATTTAAAAAATAATTTAAGGCAAGTTAAAATAAAAATATTTTGAACTTGAACCAGGACTAAATTTAATCGTTTCGGGGTGAAAACGGACCCGAAAAAAATAGGGTCATGTGGCGAATTGTGGACCAAGCATTGGGAGGACTATAAAAAGGGGAAGAATATAAAAAGGGGAAGAAAATCAGATTTTCTTCCCCAAATCGTTCAGTCGTTACCGGATAGAAGAAGAGAGGGAAAAAGTGATGGTTTCTCCACTTCTTTGTACGATCTACGGCCTTATGGTGCTCGAATCCACTCTAACCAAGGAGGAAAGTTGTTCCTCGCGTCGGGGGCTACGCAACCATACCAAAAACGAAGGCTTTCATTGAAGGTTTGGAAGACAAAATTTTGGGAGGGCTTGGATTTGAGCTGAGGCTAAATTCTTGAAGCTTCCCAACATGTTTTTACGCTTCAAGAGGTAGGGTTCCCTTCTACTTAGGTTTATTTTCTAACCTAGGGTAATATATGTAGTGGGTAGTTTGATAGAATTTTATATAAATCACCTATTGTTGTGAAATTGATGGAAATAAGTATAGAAATGGTTTAGAATAAATTCCTAGCTTGGAATTGAAATGTGGTAATTACTTGTGAAATTCCATGAAAATTGGTATTTGTGGGCATGCTATATGTTTAAATTATGCCTTGGTGAATGAAGTGTGTTATTGACATATATTATGTGATAACATGCTTGTGAATGGTTGTTAGATATCAACTGTTGATATATGTTTATTGATATATTAACGTTGTGATGAAGTTTGGTGATTATATGCATATGATATAATTGGCCATGGAACATGTATTTAGGTGGTTAAATTTGCTCATATGACATTCATTACATATAGGCATGACATTGATATTGCAATGGTGCATAACATTACATTTGCACGAAAGCATCACAACCATGGGCATGAGACGTGGGTGTGGATATGGGTGTGTGCATGGTTTAATCAAACACCATACTTGGTGGTTGATGGGTGGGCTCGGGAAAGTTGGATTAAAAATTAGACTGAGTCGCACGGTTGCATGAAAAATTTGTGTCGGGTATAGCAAGTAGGGCTAGACTCTCCCTCAGGTGCAAGACCAGGCTGCCTGGTTCAGACACTCCACTAAGGTGAAATTCCAGAAAAGTGTCACAGTGTGCGAAACCGGCGGTGCAACTCCAAGAACTCCGCTTCCTAACAAAGACACAAGGATTTTGTTTTATAAAATACCTGGTTCATACACTCCCCTGAGGTGAAATTTTAGAAAAGTATACTTGTTTTATAAAATAGTTATTCGATGTGTAACATCCAACAATGACTTGGTTTTATAACCACATGGATTTATTTCAAAATGATCATTGGGTGTAATTCATCAATGGCAGATTTTTCATACATTGGCATTGCATTGTGTGGTGGGAGCCAGTGAAGGCTCGGGTTCAAGTGCCTTAGTGAGTCTTATCTCTTTTCATGGCATGACATGGTAGAATTCCAGCATTGAATTGCATATTCTTGTTTGGAATGATCGTTTCCGTGTTCAATGTTATATGTGCACATTTCATATGCATCTAGGTTGGGGGAGTAGCTTCTGTAAGAAATACTCTACTGGGCGTGGCTCACCCTATATGGGAAAACATTTCAGGTGCGGGGTTCACACCGGCGGAGGATTCTCATTTCGAGCCCCAAAGATGAAGAGGTCCAACTTGTGGCTTTTATAGCACATTTTGTGTAATTTTTGTGAAAATTATATTTTGGGCATGTAATTCCTGGAATTGAATGTAATACAGTTTGTATGGACCTTGTGTAATGTGAAAATCTTCATTAAAAATGGGAAATGAAAAACATGTGAAACAAGCAAAATTGGTTAAGGGGATGCTATGGACGTGATGTTGGGTTGTGCGACACTCACGGGTATTTCCGCGGGTTGATGGTTGGTCAACAATTGTTAAAGGACCCCTAATTTTACGGATTTCATAGCACCTCCTAGACCTAGGCTCCTTAAGGCACTTCGAATAGTGGTTCAAGCATTGCTTCACTTTGTCCTCTAGCCAGTAGATATTGAGGAAAAGCCATCACTGACGACGATGGATATAAAGTAAGTACCATTTCTAGTTCCCTTAATACCGAGGCCGATATTTTATAGATTGCCTCTGCTACGGTGCTGTGTCACCGAGATGAAATGGGCGAGCTAGTCAATGATGACTTCTCTAGAGATATTGCTATTTATAAGGAGGTTCTTGAGGTAAGTTAAAGGTTTCATATACCTTCCTCTATTTGTTGCATCCTTCATTCTTTTTCACTAACACCAAGACGCTTAGCGCCCAATGGTTGGAGTATTTTTCTGGGATTTCTTGCACTGTAGAGGAAAGTGCATTATGAGGATGGCTCTCCTGAAGAGTCATTTGCAGCCTCTACTTTGAGTGAAACTCCTGCTCCCAACCATGGGTGGTATTACTTTACTTTGAGGGGAGGAAAACTAATTGTTGGGCTGCGCTTGGACTGCCATAGCTGGAAAGCTTGTTTCCTATTTGTAGGAGGAGAGTGGGTTTCAGAGGTAGATAGGGCATTAATACTGGTGAGAAAGGCCTATTCCAAAGAGATTAGGTATAGCTAATCTCAGTTTTTTTTTATATATGGGTATTAATCACATTTTTTCCAGGCTCCTCGACGCTCTCAATAGACCAGGAGTGGAAGCTGCAAGCTATGAAGGCTTATCCTAAAAAATTTTTTGGGACCATCATACTTAGAGAGGATGAGACTAGCGACCCCCCTTCTGGTGGTGCTAGAGGTGGTGTGTCTTCTTTCGAGGCTAGCAACTCCTCATTGAAGAGAATAGGTATGTTGGCTTCATTCATACTTTTCTTTTTCTATTTTATTAGGGTAACACTTTATCCTTTTGCAGTTGATAGGACAGTGGTGAAGTCCCTTTATTCCACTAGGGGTATTCCTCTACCGAACATGGCCAGGGTGGATAATGTTATAGCAGCCCCTTCTCAGGGGACCCCTCTAGTGGCTCCTCCCCAGATAGCTACCTCGGTGATTCCCTCAAAGATTCCTCCAGTTGCGGCTCCAGAGGTAACTGCTCCTCTAGAGGCTCCACAAGTGACTACTTCNTCTCATGCATCGGGTGTTTCAACCCTATTTAGATCAGTTCGTTGTAGTATTTGTTGATGATNCCTCGGTGATTCCCTCAAAGATTCCTCCAGTTGCGGCTCCAGAGGTAACTGCTCCTCTAGAGGCTCCACAAGTGACTACTTCTCTTGCTCCACGTACATTTGATTCTCCACTAGGGATTTCTACAAGGGCTGCCTCTGAGATGATATCCATGCCAGATGACATTCAGATCATAAGGCACCGACTTGGGAGATTTGTGCCACCTATGGAGATCACTCAGGTTGGTGCTCGGNTATCCTGATCTACTCCAACTCTGAGGAGGACTATGAGGGTCACTTGAGAATTGTTCTCCAGACGTTGAGAGATAACCTGTTGTACGCTAAGTTCAACAAGTGTGAATTTTGGCTTACGGAGGTAAAGTTTTTGGGACACATGGTGTCGACTTCGGGTGTATCCGTGGACCTAGAAAAAGTTGAGGCGATTATGAATTGTGAGAGGCTGAAGTCAGTCTTCGAGATACGTAGTTTCTTAGGACTGANACCTGTTGTACGCTAAGTTCAACAAGTGTGAATTTTGGCTTACGGAGGTAAAGTTTTTGGGACACATGGTGTCGGCTTCGGGTGTATCCGTGGACCTAGAAAAAGTTGAGGCGATTATGAATTGTGAGAGACTGAAGTCAGTCTTCGAGATACGTAGTTTCTTAGGACTGGCAGGTTATTACCAGAGATTCATCAAGGACTTATCCCGATTAGCTGCACCTATGACGAGATTGACCCGAAAGGAGGTCAAATTTGAGTGGAATGATTCGTGTGAGAAGGCATTCCAAGAGTTAAAAAGGAGGCTTACTTAAGCTCCTATTTTGATAGTCTTAGAGAGGGGACAAATGTACACTGTGTACTGTGATGCCTCTAGAGATGGCCTTGGTTGTGTTTTGATGCAGTCAGGGAGGGTGGTGGCTTATGGTTCTCGACAATTAAAGAACTACGAGCAGAATTATCCTACACACGACATGGAGTTAGCGGCCATTGTCTTGGCGCCACTATCTATATGGTGAGCAGTTTGAGGTATTTTTGGACTACAAGAGTCTGAAGTATATCTTCACTCAGTGAGACCTCAACATGAGGCAGCGTAGGTGGATGGAGTACCTGGAGGACTACGACTTTACTTTGCATCACTATCCTGGTAAGGCAAACGTGGTGGCTGATGCACTCAGTCGAAAGTCACGGGGAGTTGTGGCTAGTATGGTTTCCTGTGAATGGCAAATGCTCGAGGCTGTGGGACAGTTCGGGCTACACTAGAGGGATCAGGCTCAAGGTGTTTTAGGGAGTTTAGTGGTGATGCCTTCCCCATTGAGTAGAGTGATTGAGCCCCAGGGGCAAGACCCAGAGTTATCATCATTAGGGACCGAGTGCAGGTGGGTATCAGTGACGAGGGCTGGGCCATTCACTTAGATGGTAGTCTTTGGTATAGGGGAAGGGTTGTGGTTCCCCAATTAGCGGATCTGAGAGAGGAGATCCTTAGGGAGTTCCATTGCTCCCGATTTGTTGTACATCTAGGTGGCACGAAGATGTATCATGGTCTTTGTCATGAGTATTGTTGGAACGGGATGAAGAAAGACGTTAGAGACTTTGTCAGACGATGTCTCACGTGTCAGCAGGTCAAGGCTGAGCACCAGAGACCAGTAGGGTTACTCGATCCCTTGGAGGTAGCTAAATGGAAGTGGGAGCATGTCACGATGGATTTTGTGACCCACTTGCCATAAACATTGCGAGGATATGACATGGTATGGGTGATAGTGGACCGGCTTATAAAGTCGGCACACTTTTTGGCTGTGTGGATGACCATCATACTTGAGGAATTATGTCGATTGTACATATGGGAGATTGTTAGGTTGCATGGGGTGCTCGTATCTATTATAGCAGATAGGGATCCCTGGTTTACAGCTCATTTTTGGGAGAGTTTCCAATGAGCCATGGGGACACAGTTGATGATGAGAATAACTTTTCATCCCTAGACGGACAGTTAGTTGGAGAGGAGCATCCAAATATTATAGGACATGTTACAAGCATGTGTCCTAGATTTCAAGGGTAGCTGGGAAGAGCATTTACCCTTAGTGGAGCTCGCCTACAACAACAGTTATCAGGCAAGCATTTAGATGACACTCTATGAGAAACTTTATGAGAGGCCTTGCCATTCTCTGGTATGTTGGACGGAGGTAGGAGAGAGACCCTCTACGGGTCTAGATTTGGTTAGAGACACCTCAGAGAAGGTGGACCTGATATGAAAACGTCTTCTTACAACTTAGAGCCGACAGAAGAGCTACGCTAATAGACGGCGACGACCTTTAGAATTTGAGGGGGGAGATCACATCTTCTTGAAGGTGATGCCTAAGAGGGGAGTGGTCAGATTCAAAAAATAAGGAAAGCTATCGCCGAGGTTTATCAGGCCCTTTGAGGTATTCGAGAGAGTGGGCACAGTGGCTTATAGATTGGCGTTACGACCAAATTTATTGACTTTTCACGTGGTGTTCCATGTCTCTATGCTCTGGAAGTATACTCTAGATCTGACACATGTAGTGGATTGGGGTGAGTTGATTGTTCATGCGAAGGGAACCTTCGAGGAGGGACAGGTGCGTATCATGGATAGCTAGGAGTAGGTTTTGCAAGGCAAGACTGTGAGGCTAGTGAAGGTTCTGTGGCAGCACTGTGGTGTGGAGGAGGAGACATGAGAGCGTGAGGATACCACACATACCAAGTATCCATTCCTGTTGTGGCATATGCACATAGTTAGCTGTGTGTGTGAATTTTAGGGACAAAATTCTTTTAAAGGGGGAAGAATGAAAAACCCGGGTAAATTTAAATTTTTTATGAAAAAGGGCAAAATGATAATTTGCTACTATGGTACGGGTTGTTAACCAGAAATTTTCTAGTACTCGGATGACGAAACGGACATCACTGTTGGATTCGTCTCGCAAAATCTAGTTATCTTGTCAAATTTCATTAAATTCTGAGATAGTCAAATTTTTTACGTTTTCGAGTCTCGGGTGACTCAAAAACGAAATTTTTAATAAAATTTTGAAATTTAAAAAATAATTTAAGGCAAGTTAAAATAAAAATATTTTGAACTTGAACCAGGACTAAATTTAATCGTTTCGGGGTGAAAACGGACCCGAAAAAAATAGGGTCATGTGGCGAATTGTGGACCAAGCATTGGGAGGACTATAAAAAGGGGAAGAATATAAAAAGGGGAAGAAAATCAGATTTTCTTCCCCAAATCGTTCAGTCGTTACCGGATAGAAGAAGAGAGGGAAAAAGTGATGGTTTCTCCACTTCTTTGTACGATCTACGGCCTTATGGTGCTCGAATCCACTCTAACCAAGGAGGAAAGTTGTTCCTCGCGTCGGGGGCTACGCAACCATACCAAAAACGAAGGCTTTCATTGAAGGTTTGGAAGACAAAATTTTGGGAGGGCTTGGATTTGAGCTGAGGCTAAATTCTTGAAGCTTCCCAACATGTTTTTACGCTTCAAGAGGTAGGGTTCCCTTCTACTTAGGTTTATTTTCTAACCTAGGGTAATATATGTAGTGGGTAGTTTGATAGAATTTTATATAAATCACCTATTGTTGTGAAATTGATGGAAATAAGTATAGAAATGGTTTAGAATAAATTCCTAGCTTGGAATTGAAATGTGGTAATTACTTGTGAAATTCCATGAAAATTGGTATTTGTGGGCATGCTATATGTTTAAATTATGCCTTGGTGAATGAAGTGTGTTATTGACATATATTATGTGATAACATGCTTGTGAATGGTTGTTAGATATCAACTGTTGATATATGTTTATTGATATATTAACGTTGTGATGAAGTTTGGTGATTATATGCATATGATATAATTGGCCATGGAACATGTATTTAGGTGGTTAAATTTGCTCATATGACATTCATTACATATAGGCATGAAATTGATATTGCAATGGTGCATAACATTACATTTGCACGAAAGCATCACAACCATGGGCATGAGACGTGGGTGTGGATATGGGTGTGTGCATGGTTTAATCAAACACCATACTTGGTGGTTGATGGGTGGGCTCGGGAAAGTTGGATTAAAAATTAGACTGAGTCGCACGGTTGCATGAAAAATTTGTGTCGGGTATAGCAAGTAGGGCTAGACTCTCCCTCAGGTGCAAGACCAGGCTGCCTGGTTCAGACACTCCACTAAGGTGAAATTCCAGAAAAGTGTCACAGTGTGCGAAACCGGCGGTGCAACTCCAAGAACTCCGCTTCCTAACAAAGACACAAGGATTTTGTTTTATAAAATACCTGGTTCATACACTCCCCTGAGGTGAAATTTTAGAAAAGTATACTTGTTTTATAAAATAGTTATTCGATGTGTAACATCCAACAATGACTTGGTTTTATAACCACATGGATTTATTTCAAAATGATCATTGGGTGTAATTCATCAATGGCAGATTTTTCATACATTGGCATTGCATTGTGTGGTGGGAGCCAGTGAAGGCTCGGGTTCAAGTGCCTTAGGGAGTCTTATCTCTTTTCATGGCATGACATGGTAGAATTCCAGCATTGAATTGCATATTCTTGTTTGGAATGATCGTTTCCGTGTTCAATGTTATATGTGCACATTTCATATGCATCTAGGTTGGGGGAGTAGCTTCTGTAAGAAATACTCTACTGGGCGTGGCTCACCCTATATGGGAAAACATTTCAGGTGCGGGGTTCACACCGGCGGAGGATTCTCATTTCGAGCCCCAAAGATGAAGAGGTCCAACTTGTGGCTTTTATAGCACATTTTGTGTAATTTTTGTGAAAATTATATTTTGGGCATGTAATTCCTGGAATTGAATGTAATACAGTTTGTATGGACCTTGTGTAATGTGAAAATCTTCATTAAAAATGGGAAATGAAAAACATGTGAAACAAGCAAAATTGGTTAAGGGGATGCTATGGACGTGATGTTGGGTTGTGCGACACTCACGGGTATTTCCGCGGGTTGATGGTTGGTCAACAATTGTTAAAGGACCCCTAATTTTACGGATTTCATAGCACCTCCTAGACCTAGGCTCCTTAAGGCACTTCGAATAGTGGTTCAAGCATTGCTTCACTTTGTCCTCTAGCCAGTAGATATTGAGGAAAAGCCATCACTGACGACGATGGATATAAAGTAAGTACCATTTCTAGTTCCCTTAATACCGAGGCCGATATTTTATAGATTGCCTCTGCTACGGTGCTGTGTCACCGAGATGAAATGGGCGAGCTAGTCAATGATGACTTCTCTA